GCTGTTACCGGTACTGTAAGAACAAGCCGTACCCCAAGTCTCGTTTCTGCCGGGGGGTCCCCGATGCGAAGATCCGCATCTTTGACCTGGGCCGGAAGAAGGCCAAGGTGGACGAGTTCCCGCTGTGCGGCCACATGGTGTCGGACGAGTACGAGCAGCTGTCGTCGGAGCCCTGGAAGCCGCCCGCATCTGCGCCAACAAGTACATGGTGAAGAGCTGCGGCAAGGACGGCTTCCACATCCGCGTGCGGCTGCACCCCTTCCACGTCATCCGCATCAACAAGATGCTGTCGTGCGCCGGCGCCGACAGGCTGCAGACCGGCATGCGGGGCGCCCTTCAGGGCACCGTGGCCCGGGTCCACATCGGCCAGGTCATCATGTCCATCCGCACCAAGCTGCAGAACAAGGAGCACGTGATCGAAGCCCTGCGCAGGGCCAAGTTCAAGTTCCCCGGCCGCCAGAAGATCCACATCTCCAAGAAGTGGGGCTTCACCAAGTTCAACGCCGACGAGTTCGAAGACAAGGTGGCCGCCAAGCGCCTCATCCCGGATGGCTGCGGAGTCAAGTACATCCCCGAACGGGGCCCCCTGAGCAAGTGGAGGGCCCTGCACTCCTGAGTGGCAGGAAAAAAAAAAAAGAAGAAGAAGAAGCACTATCGACGGTTGTGTTTTGAAAATGTTGATCCGGTTCGTAGCGAATAGAACGTTAGTTTGCATAGTATAGGACATTACAAGGGAAAGTACCTGCTCTGTTTAAGGAACAAGAAGACGGCCGTTTATATAGAGGACACGTTTGCTGTTTTGAACCATCTACTTTACATTTTTGGAGTATACCACAGTATGACAAGACATTTTGTCTAGCATGGCAAAGGTTTTGTTTAGTGAAGGCAGAAATGATACTGTTAATACCTTGATTAAGAGTACAAGAGGAGTTTGAAGATGTGTGAAGAATCCTAGTTTATGGAAAACAACATGAAAATTATATTTCAAGGGTATCCTCTTTAAAACTAGCCTGTTTTCTAAATTCGATTGCTCTGCTCTAAAATCGTCAACATTATTTTTAGAATTACCTGTAGCCTCAGGTTATCAATCTTAGAACAGTTGGGTATACTGAAAAAAGATTTCCTAGACAAGCCTTACATTGTCCTGCACTCAGGAGACAACGATCCAATCTTTTCTTCATCACAGAAAGGTTACAGGTGACAACAGAGTTCATATTGCTTGTATTTGGGTCTCGGTAGTATCAACAAAGAGGAGAAGATGACAGTAAATCAGCCTTCTGCTCTGAGGGGTCCTGGGGAAGCCTTTGTAATCTGTTGCTGTTTGCCCTGTATTAGAGTTATATTGATCATACGGGTGGTTTCTATTTTATTTTAGAAACAATGTAACCTAAAATTACTGGATTTATACTGTTTATTTTGTTGTTAGTGTACCTGTTCTTTGATTTAGGATTTCTGAATCTTAATCCTGGAAACATAGCCTTCAGTTTTCCTCTACTAATGATACAATTTTAAAGGCAAAGTAGTTAAAGGAAGCAGAAAAAGGGGCACTAAACTGCTTGGATGCATTGCTTATTATTTTGCAGTTGTATAAATTCATCCCTAACCAAAAGTTACTGCATCTGACTTATCCCTGTAAGTTACTTGTGTGCTTTAATACTTACTTGGTATTTTAAACACAATATTCATGTTAGAGTAAATAAAATGCGAATTCATTAAAAAGCTCTCCTACATAGCAGGTGTTTTCACTTATTGCTTCTCGAATTCTTGACACTCTCTCGGAAATTACATCATGTGCAGCTAATAAAAGTAAATGTTAACCAGATATTTTGACTCCTGTGCAGTCCTTAATTTTGACAGACTGTCTCAAAACCTAAATTGCCTTAAAAATTCAAAAGGATGCAAGCAATCAATTCCTTGCTTAGCTATATATTGCTTTCTTTCTTTTTTGGGCAGTGTAGGGGGGGTTGAGACAGGGTTTCACTGTAGCTTTGGAGGTTGTCCTGGCACTCTGTAGACTAGGCTGGCCTCGAACTCACAAGAGATCTGCCTGCCTCTGCTTCCTGAGTGCTGGGACTAAAGACGTGTGCCACCACCGCCTGGCTTCCACCTTAGT